GATTTTTTTCAGGCTATTTTTGCTTCTGCATGTTAACAATTGGGCTGGCTATTTGTAACTTCGGTTAGAGTTGGTCCATTAAGATTAAAATTGGCACTTTTGGAACAAAATTGTCCTCCTTGTCCAGGAGCCTCTCTAAAACATGGCCATTCAAGATGGTGGCCAAGACACGCCCCCGAGCCAGCACACTGCACATGGCAGTACACACTAGACAGCCAACAAACATTACATTCAACTAGGCACACACATTACATACAGCTAGCTCACACATATTAAATACAATCTGCATACACCACATTACATACAGCTAGGACGCACGACACACATTACACCCAGCTGACACATATGCTCTGGTAGAAGGCAGAGGACGAGGCCCTAAACTCCATATTTTCTCAAATTAAATTCAAATAACCAATTGTGGCTATGGCTGAGCTGAAGATGTTTTCCAGTTCAGCTGTGTTGTTTTCAGTTTTTCCATTTGGATTTAATTTGGTAAAATCCAGGGTTTAGCGAATAACCCTGCCAATGTCCAGGTCTAAGCAGGGTCCACAAACTTTCCAATTTGAGATTATTTTATGTCAGCACAAATAGATTTGGCTACCGCTTTAGTCCCTTGGGCTTTTATTGGAAAATCAAGGGTAGCAGTTTTTTTTAGGGTGTACTTTTAGTTCATTATTTAGATTTTATAATTAAAGCGGCACTTTCATGCCGAATTTACCATTCCCCAATCGCGTCCTCTTCTCTCCCTCTCTCAGGATCTGTTCTTCTTTTCTTCCTACCCAATCTAGTTTTCTTTAAAACCTTCAAACTCCTAACAAAGCAGCAGGAGGATGGTGAGAATTGAGAGAAAATTGCTTTGACCCCAGGAAATGGAGTAGACTTTGCTCCTTCCATGCATCAAAACTGGACAAGTGTAGGAAAAATACATAAGACAAACTAGTCCCTACTTTGTCTTATGCTTTATAGAAAACTAGATCAGATAAGAAGAAAAGATGAAGGGAGAGGTATTAGCAGTAGAAAGAGGGAAGTGCTCATGCCATTGTACAGAACACTGGTGAGACCTCACTTGGAGTATTGTACGCAGTACTGGAGACCGTATCTCCAGAAGGATATTGATACTTTAGAGAGAGTTCAGAGAAGGGCTACTAAACAGGTTCATGGATTGCAGGATAAAACTTACAAGGAAAGGTTAAAGGAATTTAACATGTATAGCATGGAGGAAAGACGAGACAGGGAGGATATGATAGAAACATTTAAATACATAAAGGAAATCAACACAGTAAAGGAGGAGACTATATTTAAAAGAAGAAAAACTACCACAACAAGAGGACATAGTCTTAAATTAGAGGGACAAAGGTTTAAAATAATATCAGGAAGTATTACTTTACTGAGAGGGTAGTGGATGCATGGAATAGCCTTCCAGCTGAAGAGGTAGAGGTTAACACAGTGAGGGAGTTTAAGCATGCGTGGGATAGGCGTAAGGCTATCCTAGACTTAAAGAGACACTACAGTCACCTGAACAACTTTAGCTTAATGAAGCCGTTTTGGTGTATAGAACATGTCCCTGCAGCCTCACTGCTCAATCCTCTGCCATTTAGGAGTTAAATCCCTTTGTTTATGAACCCTAGTCACACCTCCCCTGCATGTGACTTGCACAGCCTTCCATAAACACTTCCTGTAAAGAGAGCCCTATTTAGGCTTTCTTTATTGCAAGTTCTGTTTAATTAAGATTTTCTTATCCCCTGCTATGTTAATAGCTTGCTAGACCCTGCAAGATCCTCCTGTATGTGATTAAAGTTCAATTTAGAGATTGAGATACAATTATTTAAGGTAAATTACATCTGTTTGAAAGTGAAACCAGTTTTTTTCATGCAGGCTCTGTCAATCATAGCCAGGGGAGGTGTGGCTAGGGCTGCATAAACAGAAACAAAGTGATTTAACTCCTAAATGACAGTGAATTGAGCAGTAAAATTGCAGGGGAATGATCTATACACTAAAACTGCTTTATTTAGCTAAAGTAATTTAGGTGACTATAGTGTTCCTTTAAGATAAGGCCAGGGACTAATTAAAAGTATTTTGAAATATTGGGCAGAATAGACTTGCCGAATGGTTCTTATATGCCGTCACATTCTATGTTTCTATGAATAGATCCTGAGAGAGAGAGAGAAGATGAAGCTATTTGGGAATGGTAAGTTCAGCATGACAGTGCCGCTTTAAGAGATGCAATCTTTTGTAGATATTTAACTCAGCATGTTCTTCTGAAGTGAACTGTAAGACAAATGAATTGAAAAATGCAGTACATTTTATAATGTTTAGTGAATAAGCCCCTTCCTTTAAAATGGTGGGTCTTGCAGCCTGCTACAGGTCACGTGCTCTTAATAGTTACATTTTATCTCATTTTCACCCCTGCACTGTTCAACTCTTCCTTACCCTGTGCCCTCGCATACATTGTTACTATTGGATATAAAAAAATATATATTTATTCACTAAACAACAATAACCTAGGAAAAAAAATGTATTATGCAATTCAGGGTAAAGTAGCCAAGCTGTGACCTAGTATGTCGTGTTTTTTTTTTTTCTTTTCAAATAAATTTTATTAAAGTTTTAAATATTTGTATAACAAGTAATAATAATACAAACATTGTATTAGGGGTAGGAAAGGAAGGGTAACTTGGAAATGGGAAGGGGTATCCATCCATCATTGAACTAGGCATAACAATGTATATGGCAAAAATGTTGTACATCAATCCACTTTAACAATAAATATATCAAAGACCATAAACTTTTTAGATTTTTTTTCTTCCCATTTATCCCAATTATATTTTATAATATTAGCTCTATTTTGGGACTTCCAATGTCTAGGTAAACAGGATGTAGCAGCGATCAGAATGTGGCCTATGATTATTTTATCTGATCTATTAACGGACTCCGGGAGTTTTTTAAATAAGGCTAGTTCCGAAGTTAAAATGCTAAAGGTTCTGTCCACTTTAATAATTAGTTCACGAATCATTTTCCAATATTTAGTTAATTTAGGGCAGAACCACCAGATATGGGCCATATTGCCCACACCCCCACAGTCTCTCCAACACCGGTCAGAATACATATTGTTCATGTTGTGCAATCTAGACGGAGCCAGGTACCAGCGATATAAAATTTTAGAATGATTTTCAAAATGGTCAGTGCAATACGAAATACCTTTTAAAGCTTTAAAAAAGCTGAACCATTCTTCTAAATCGTACTGGGCACCCAACTCCGTCTCCCATGACAATATATGTTTTAATTTAACTAAGGGCTTGGCATTAGTATGTCGTGTTTTATCAGCACGTGTGAAGCAGCACTGGATACATTTAATATTCTAGACTGCCATCTACAGATGTCAAGCAAGACGTGTAAATTAGATTAACAATGCATGTGCATCCAAACAGACTAAAATTCATTCGATCAGCCAGTCAATTCACAGGTTATATTGCAAAATCTGTCATTTACACTTTTTGCAGGGTTGGTCGCTGAAGTGAGAATTTTCAAAATGTCAGTATTCCCTAATTATAGGCCAAAATACCAGAACTAAGTTGGCTAAGAAACTTTTAGTAAATTTAATATTTTGGCTTAAAGGAACGCTATAGGCACCCAGACCACTTTATCTTAATTATAGGGACACTCCGGTCACCTTAACAACTTAATCTAAATGCAACTCAGATTCAGAAGCCGAATGTTGCCTGGGGGACCTGGGGGACCTGGAGATCAGTGCGAGAGGCAACCATCCTAGAATGGTTTAACACCTTAAGGTAAGAGTGCGCCTGGGGAACCATAACAAGTTAATTTAGATTAAGTTGTAATGGTGACTGAAGTGTCCCTTTAAGTGGTCTGGGTGTTTGTTTTAACCCTGTCGTTAAAAAAATTGATGTTCTGAATAATTGGCAATGTTTTAATTGCTTGGTTAACCAACCTGTAGTAGCGGTCATACTGACACCGAACTAGTAGTGTAAAACCTTACTATTTTTATCAGGTGGTCTCATACAGCCCATCTGACTGGTGCTGTGTTTTGCCACGCTCTAACCTCCCAATGTAAGATCACCAATTTCGATTATTTCATCCAAAAATGCAGAGCTAGCTGCCGGAGGGATAAAAGGTAAGTGCGTTCCCCTTTTAACCCTGACATCGGTGGCCCCGTAACCTAAACGGTGACTAGGGCATTATTGATAAACATTTGCATTCCACACACTATAGTAGGCATAGGCAACCTTCGGCACTTCAGATGTTTTGGACTACACCTCCCATGATGCTTTGCCAGCATTATGGGTGTAAGAGCATTATGGGGGATGTAGTCCACAACACCGGGAGTGCGGAAGGTGGTCTATCCTTGCACTATAGTGTTACTTTAACGCTGTAACTCACTAAATTCATTACAAGTCATTTTGTGGGGATTTTATTCATTGAACCCTGATTTTTATTGAAGTAAATACAAGCTGCAAAAATAGCTGGCGTGTAAAACTGTCCCTGTTTTCCAGCCGGCTCTAGTCACACATCTTTTTAGCTTTATTTTTGCATTTTTTGTTAATATATTTGATATTTGGAGTTTAGTGAATTAATCTGCCCATGCAGGCTTATTCAATGAACACTGGGTTTTACTGCTACAAACTGGGCTAAAATGGCTGAACTGTGACTGTGAGCATTTTTCAAATGATCTATTTTCACATTTGACTAAAATTCGACGTTTAGTGAATAGCCCTGTCAGCTTTTCGGGTTCAGCACTATTTATTTACAAGGCCTAAAGGCTTAGGAAGCCGAAAGGCTGACTGGACTACCTTTCCCGTGATCCTCTGCCGCACTCTGCCATAGACAATGCTGGCTGAGGGATCATGGGACGTGTAGTTGCAGGAGAGCCACAGCCTGTGTCCTGCGCGAGCGCGCTCCTCCTGTCACCATGGTAACGGGGGTAGCGCTGCCCTGCGTAACGCTGCCTGCGCGGCCACGAGCCCTGCGTGCGCGCGCTTTCCTCCCTCCCCTCGGCCGCGCTGCTCGAAGCTCAGTGAGGTCCGGTCAGTCCGACTCTTCTCCTTCCTCGGAATCGGGACCGTATGGACCAGAACACCGCGCTGCCAGGCCGCAACCATCCCCGGACTGTCCATGGGCGGCACATGGGCTCCAGGTGAGAGGAACCGGGCTCACAGAGCCAGGAAAGGCCGGGGACGGGGGGAGTGACTAGGCCGCTGTTACCAGGGAGAGTCCCCGCTGCTCCTCCTCGATCTCTGCCTGCAGCTCGCTGAGGGCCTGAGCCAGGGGCAGAGAGCGGGGCCGGGGATGAGAGCGGGGTCACAGAGGCAGAGACCCGGGGTTAAGCAGGGTGGGGGGCAGAGAGCAGGGCCTGGAGGGAGAGGGCAGAGAGAGCAGGGCAAGGGGGCAGAGAGCAGGGCCTTGGGGGGGAGGGCAGAGAGCAGGGCCTGGGGAGAGCAGGGCCTTGGGGTGGGGGAGGGAAGGCAGGTTTAATCTGCAGGAAGAAGGGCAGGCTATGTCTAGTTTGCTGGAAGAGCAGGCTGTGCTGGTTCTGCAGGAGAATATCTATTGGGCCAGGTGGACTGCTTCATGTTCTCCGGCTAAAACCAGGCCCTTTTTGGAAGACATTAGTATTAATATTACATCTGCAAGTTAGTGTCATTGAAAACTAGAAAATAAATGCCTCCCACTCTATATGGACATATATAATACTGTAGCTTATGTGGCAGTGATAGCTAAATATTGGCACTAGTGCTTTTGTAGGTTCTACACATGTTGCTGCTAGCAGGGCACCATGCTAAGTTACCAAACATCAGCTGAAGTACCAATGTTTACTCTGTCTTGGGCAAACGTGAGTGTGTTGCATAGTGTTACTCGGCATGCAAAGAAGGCAACCTTGGCTTGTGGGTTGCAGGTCTGCAAAAGGGCGGGCAAGGTGTGCTGGGTCTTCAGGTGGAAGGGTAGGCTATGTCTGGTATGCAGGAAGGACAGGCTATTTCTGCTTTGTAGGAAGTACAGACTATGCAGGGTCTGCAGGAGGTAGGACAGGCTGTATAGGGTCTTCAGTTGGGAGGGCAGGCTATGTCTAGTTTGTAGGAAGGGCAGGCTGTGCCGGGTTCTCAGTTGGGAGGGCAGGCTATGCCTAGTTTGTAGAAAGGACAGGCTGAGCCGAGTCTTCGGTTGGGAGGGCATGCTATGTCTACTTTGTAGGAAGGACAGGCTGTGCGGGGTCTGCAGTTAGGAGGGCGGGCTATGTCTAGTTTGTAGTAAGGGCAGGCTGTGCTGGGTCTTCAGTTGGGAGTGCATGCTATGTCTAGTGTGTAGGAAGGTCAGGCTAAGCCAGGTCTTCAGTTGGAAGGGCAGGCTATGTCTAGTTTGTAGGAAGGACAGACTGTGCGGGGTCTGCAGTTAGGAGGGCAGACTATGTCTAGTTTGTAGGAAGGACAGGCTGTGCCGGGCATTCAGGAGGGTTTGCACTCTGTCTAGTTTGTAGAAATGTCAGGCTGTGCTGGGTTCTCAGGAGGTAGGGAAGGCTATGTGTAGTGTCCAGGAAGGACAGGCTGTGCCAGGTCTTCAGGAGGGAGGGGAGGCTATGTCTAGTTTGTAGGAAGGGCAGGCTGTGCCGGGTTCTCAGTTGGGAGGGCAGGCTATGTCTAGTTTGTAAGATTGACATGCTGTGTTGGATCTGCAGTTGGGAGGGCAGGCTATGCCTAGTTTGTAGGAAGGACAGACTGCGCCCAGTCTTCAGTTGAGAGGGCAGGCTATGTTCTCCCGCCTACAGAACCAGCTATCCACTTTGTAAGTTTTGTTTTGTGGCAGCAGTCTGCAGACTGATACCTGTCAAGGGAAAATTAGAAATAAGCAAATTACTTGTATATTTGCTGAAGTTTTGGCTGGCACAATCTATTGATGTTTTCTATATATCTATGACACAATTTTACCTTGATTTAACGTTATTGCTATTCTTTAAAGGAACACTTACCTGTTCTCCATTGTGGGAAGAGTTTATATTTACTCACAGCAGCCCAGTCCACCTTTTCTGATATCACCATGCTGAATGATCTCATCCTATCCAATGCTTCAGGGATTTTCACTAAAATGAGAATTGTTGGGGATTTAAAGTGAATTTCAAATTGAAATGCCTTAGACACTGTTATTGGACAGCTGTTATTACCTTAGATTTGAAATTTCCTTTCAATTCCCAACAACTCTCATTTTAGTGAATAATCCATATAGAGGAGCATGTGGGCACCTACACTGCAAGCATTGAAATTGAACCTGCAGATCCCTCCAGACCCCGCAAGTAGAATTTACTGTACTAAACAGTGCCACACTCATTGGCTGAGAGAGTCTGTTGCGCACTCTTGGCCTTTGAGAGTAGGTCGTGCAATGGCTGCACTGGAAAAAACTGAATGTGGCACAGCACCTGTGGGCACAAGTAAGTTAGGCATTCCTGGCACCATAACTACTACAGAAGGCTGTAGTGGTTATGGTGGTTAAGTATTCTTTCAAATATAGTTCCCTGTAATAAGCCTGATTTAAAGTCTCCATCTCAGCACCATATCCACAATGGACCATTGTTAGGGTGCTACTGGGCCATGGGCATTGTCCACCTGTTCTATGTCAAACCATTTTCAGTTACCCCTTTCCAAACTCTCACTGTATTGCAAATAAATACGCTGCACTAAAACATTAGCAACACTAGTTTTGTCTATATAATGATTCTCAGAGTATTTCTCCTTTCACATATGGACAAAATTGATATCGCTAAGGCACAAGTGTATGTATTAGCAATACAGCAAAGGCTTGGGAAACTTGGTTTTCAGAATATTAACTGACAGATGTCACAAGCATATTAATGTGAATTGATTGATTAAGACTTCCAATGTGTATTTTTTTTCTGTTCTATTCTGGAGGCCTTATTTATATATTTCTTTCTTTATATTTTTTTGTTTAGGATGTGAGCACGTCCTGAAAAGATTGAATTGGAGACCCTGTGTCGTTTGCTAGAATGTTTCTTATGAATGCACTTCCTCTCGTTGCTTTCAAAACAACATGGGTACCTTTTGGACAGACCGCAACTTGTAGATTACCCGTGTGTTTCTCAGAGTCAGAAGAAGATAATTCTGGGACTTCAATAACTGCACAGGTTCAGAGCATTATTAACAACCTCCAAAGCGATGAATCTTCTCTTGATGTGACCGGTGACTATGAGTGTATTATGCAGAAGAATAGGAAGGGGGAGATTCACATTGACAGAGGACTGACCAGCAATACTTCTGTGTTTAAAGGACATGCAAGAGAGAGTGCCACTCTTGTTGTCCCTGCTCAGTTCAAAGATAACAAAGAAGAAAATTCTGGATGTGGACCACTCATTCTTGAATCCGATAGCGATGATTCTGTTGACAGAGACATTGAAGAAGCTATTCAGGAGTACTTGAAAAATAAAGGGACAGTCGATGATCCCTCTAACACAGAGAATGCAAAAAAACCTGTTACTACTGAAAAAGAACGAGATTTGCTAACAGTAAGCCAAAAAAATGTCCCGTCTCACACATGTCCTGATAAAATGGAAACTACAAATGAGATTTTTGATGGTTTCAAGCAACATGATCGACCAAGAAGTGCTTCGCCTGATAGTGTAAGCAGCGATGATTCTTTTGAACAAAGCATCAAACAGGAAATCGAGCAATTCCTGCAGGACAAAAAGCAGCAGAACATTGCAAATGAGACTGGTGCTGGTAATAAATCTGTTCAGAATACCACAAGCATCAAACCAAAGTCAAAATCGAGTAAGGTCTCTGACAAACCATGTACCAAACAGGGAAGCAGGGAGCCAGCTGGTAACCCGATTACCGAACGTGTTGGTACACAGCTGAAATCCTTTAAAGTGAACACTGATGGTTCAAAGAATACATGTAACCGAACTCAGCCTAAGGCCAATGTATCGAGGCACAACAAAAACCTGACATTGCAGGCTAAGGAATCTGTTCAAAGTATAAACAAAGAACTATCAGATTCAAGCAGCGATGATGGCATTGAAGAGGCAATCCAACTCTACCAGCTTGAAAAGAGCAGGCAAGAAAATAATCTGAAAGTACCTTTAATTGTCACTCCAGAAAGGGTAAAAACTAAACCCCAGTTGAATTTAAACTGCAGTCCTGCTGCAGACAAGATAAATGTTCCTGATGACTCTAGAAAGACAGAAAATAGAAAAAGAAAAATGCCAGTTGTTAAACCCACTGCATCTCAAGATATCACCAGCTACCAGACAGTTATTAGTAAAAAACCATTCTCTGTCAGTGACGAGAGAAATCCTATATGTGCAACTGGTAGCCAAGCAACATGTCGGGCAGAAACATCTGCCGAACTAATGTGTGCAGAAGCAATACTTGACATTTCAAAAGCAATTTTGCCTTCACAACCAGAAAGTAATTTTACAGCAAATTCAACCTCTCAACGGGAGTCCGACAGTGACAGTGCAGTGGACAGTGATGACAGCATCGAACAGGAAATTAGAACATTTTTGGCTCGTAAGGCTGAAGCGGAAGGTTCCAACACATCTTCTGTGAAGCATGAGTTGTCTGTGACACTAAGTAAGCCTGAACATGAAACCCAGCCATCTGTTTCCAAAACAAAGCTTTCTTTGACAAACAAAAGAAAAATGCACGAGAACAAGTTCACACAAGAGCAAATGATAAACATATCAGAAAAGACAACTTCAACATCAAACTTTCATAGTCGGACAGAATTAGGGAAATTCTTACATCCATCAGATACTGTAGAGAACAGCTGTATGAGAACAGGGACTTATGTGGTTGGAAGAGCTAAGCCGCCATGCCCATCAGAACCTGGCATAGCTAGTGGACATCATAACTTGGATTTTAAAAATGTTGAATCATTTTCAGGATTTCTGAGAAGTCCTGGGAAAATAAACCCGGAAGAGAGGGATAACTACAGTGGGGATGAAAGCAGCTCGTTGGACAGTGATGAAGATCTTGACACTGCTATAAAAGATCTCTTGAAGTCAAAGAAGAAATGCAAAAAAAGGATGAAGGAATCGAGGTCTCCATGTAAAAAAAAAGTACGGTTTGGTGAGTCTCCATGCAAGCTGGCTAACACACTTGACTCTGATCAAAGAGATGACTGCAGTGCAAAACTTTCGGTTAATAAAAGCTGCTTTCTAAGTTCTAACTCTACAAAGGACCATACCCTACGGAAGATAAAGAGCAATTTAAAAGTTAAAGAAGATAAGAAAGAGAAAGTGGCTAACTCTGGGACCAATTTACTAACATCGACAGTTGTTGGCAACAATAGTGAACATAAACTTACTTGTGCCTCTGTCAAAACCGAGACAGAAGCTAAACAGTGTGCCTTGTCACAGGCTCAGGACAGTAGTTCTGTGGACAGCGATGATAGCATTGAGCAGGAAATAAGAAAATTCCTTGCAGAAAGGGCCCGTGAGTCTGCAGAACTTATAGCTGCACAAAAAGGGTCTTGTATATCCAATCCAGGTTTAAATGAAGTAAAGGGAACTCCAACTGTTAAACAAGAAGTTCCATCTAGTGCAGTGACTGAGGCTTGTCTCGAACCAACTGCAAATTACCCCAGCATTGTGACAGCCAATCCACAGCCTGCAGTGACACACAGATTATCTGACTGTAAACAAAGCATATCCCCTGTAGGACAACTGCGCCATCGCCCTGCTGATGTTGCTATGGGATCCAGCCCAATGCCCAGGAAAGATTGTTTAAGAGTCAAGCAAGAATGTTGTGCAGCTCAGGATAATGTAATCACACAGAGTGACGACCATCTACAAACGCCTCCTGGCAGAGTGGTAATCAAAACGGAAATTAATGGCTCCCAAGGGAAATCTCACCTGCCAGTTTCAGGAAACTTTGTAGCCGGTCTTAAATACATTTCTGGAAATGATAAACAACTTGTTTTAAATGTAGGGAATACTGGCCCCACCAAACTGACAAGCAATTTTTACAAACCAGGACAACATATTGCAAAGCAAACGAGCTGCCAGGCTATGCCAAAAAAGGGTCTTTTGTTAGAAAAAGCTAAAGTTGTACAGGCCTCTGTTTCCCCTAAATCTCCCTTAGTACGCCCCGGTTTGTATTTGCTCACTACTCAGGTGTGCAAAGAAAACTCTGCTTTATGCCTCCCCATTAACACATCGCAATATGAAACTGGTGTTAATTTAATGAGCTTGCAGTACTGTCATGGCCAGGTGGCTACACATTTATCACCTGCCGCTGGCGAGCTGTGTGTTCAGCAACCCAAAAGTGGAGAAATCAGGAAGCAGACCACACACAAGGCAGGTGAGATTCCGACCTTAGATCCCCAGGCTCCAGTGACCGAAAGCAGGCCTAGTCATGCCAATGAGGCAGCTTTAGAAGCAGGCTCTGGTAGACATGTGGAGGAAGGCAAAGAAAGGCTTTCCAGTTTGTAAGTACCTTATTTTGACACTTCACCTTTCTCGCTGTACAGTACTGGTGTAAATACATTGAAGGATAAAGCAGGAATTAACGAGGGATTAGTGGTAACAAAAATTAGGATTTAATATGCTTTAATTGCATAGGTAATTATCAAAGCCCTTTTTTATGAGGGTACACTTAATGCAGTCTTTTATTATTTTTTCTTCTTCAAAACAATTTAGTCATTGTACTGTTTCTACTGTGTGGAATCTGGACATCCCCCTACAATGTTTTAGAAGCATTATGTAGGTTTTATTTACTGCTTTTTAAAAGCACACATAATTCACTAATCTAGACGTTGCATACCCATGTGATATACACAAGGGTATGCTTCAGGTTCTGAGCTTTAAGCATCCATTTTTGAGTATAGTTTTTCACTATATGCACACGTACCAACAGACCGAGTTTGATGTATGTCCATATCGTACACAATTCGAGTGCCTCACCAAGTTCTCATGTCTTATGGCTCACTAACTCCCTTTGCTTTATGTTAATACTCCCTAGTTTCCTTGAGCAACGCTACTGTAATGGGTAGTTTGGGTCTTTAGTTACAATATTTACAGTCCGCTGATACTAATCACGTATACATTGTAGCAAGACGCATGCTTCGATAACATGCCAAGCTGCCATGGGTTCAATATTCACAATAGAGGCAACATTCCAAAAACGTACTTTATAGATGGGGTGGGGGGGAGCATAAAATAATATGCTATGTACATATTAATTTTGTTCTCCAAACCGAGCCCCATTGCACTTGAAGGATATATTTTGCACTGGTTTTATCTTTTTAAAATGTTGCATTACACGTTTTGTTTGTGTTTATATGGAATACGTTAATCTAAGACTCTGTGGAGCTGAGGTTCAGAGAGCTGCATCTTATGAGTTCAATATTTCAAGCTATTTGGCTAGGTTTTCCACCTGCTGATAAATCCAGCGTGTGTGCGTATGGATGTACACTCACCTGGAATGATGTCCCTTGATAAAGCCAGATGTGTTGCTCTGCAAGGATTGGGGCGGTTGGGGGAGGGTAATCCTTGCATCCTTCCATCCTTCAAATGTTGAGGAAATTGAAAATGAGAATCATCATACCTTGCTGGTAAATGTCCTTTTACTCATCAAAGACAAGTGAACTAAAGATTTCCCTGTCCTGTAAATGCATATAAATATATACAAATTCTACTGCTAACACCTGTGTTGTAAGAGTTTATTTTATCTAAATATATATATATATGTATGACTCTATGTTGGCTCCTGTACAGGAAACAATGTTATTGGGAATATATAGGGAACTTTATCAAAACCTTGAATGCAAACCCTGTTACCGTCACATACATATAGTACAATACATCTAAAACAGGTGTTTCCAAAAGGTAGATCCCCAGATGTTTTAAAACTACAGCTTCCATGAATCCCTGTCATTCTAAAGGCACGCAAAGCATTGTGGGAGTTGTAGTTCTACAATATCCGGGGAACTACCTTTTGGGCACCCCTGATTTAAAACATGAAATACATCAAAAACGTAGCTGTCAGCTGTATGCTGCATTGCAATTCTATTTCTGCATATTACATCTTGGCTGCTTTCTAATCTAATAACAATATATCAATCTTTTCTAATCGTACATAATCTGTGGAAATCACACTTAAAATATTAATAGGCAGCGATGTCTTAATATAAATGGCCTTCACTTGAAATTGCTCAACAAGACACATTCAGATATGTAAAATCATGAGATTATCTTATTTTAGCTCTGTCCTTTAGAAAACAGTGACTATTGAGTAATACAAGAAATGACGTAAAACATTGTCTCTGTTCTATTTCTAATTTCAAATAAAATAAGGAAGAAACTGGCCCGTACTGACACCTAAAGCTTGTTCAGCTGCAGCATAACGCAGTCAAGAGTAAGCACTGGGCTCTTGTAGACCGCTCATCCTATTATTGCTGCCTCAGGTTGGATAGATTATGGAGAAGTGAATCTGGGGATTGGGCTACGGGTACTGGAGAGTGCTCATTGTTTCTTGTTCCCTTTACACCTCTCCAAAACAACGGCAGTGCCAGTGTGACCTGGAAGGGCTTATTGGTGCCTGGGAGAGCAACAGGCATTGGCGAGCCCCCTGGAGTGCACCAGCTGCACCACCGCTAGTTGGGGTGTGTGCTCCAAAACAATGACGAAAAACAGAGGGAAAGCACCCAAATATTTATTGCATTACTAACCATTACAATAAATCGTAGTGGTCATGGAACTTGTAATTCCATTTTAAATCAGAAACTATTCTGTCTTGCTCACACATGCTCGGTGAATCTTCCAGTTTTATAGATCACATTGGACCTGTGTTGGGATCAACTACTGGTCCATAGGTCACACAAATCTTTACTCCAACTCCCTTGATCACTGGTTTGGGACATCCCAGATCAACAGCATATTGTTAAAACAGTCCAAAACCTGCCCCTTGCATCATCCAAATTCATTCTCATTTGTCCCATGCTCGTTGTACAACATTGTTTTATCTATTTTTATCCATTTTCAAGTTTCATGGAAAGATCATATTTGCCTTCTAGGATCTGAATGTGTAAATAAAAATCAACCCTTTTTCCTTTCCTGCTAAATTGTAAATTCTTTGAAAACCTTCTAATCCTTAAGGTGCCAGAGAGGGTTAAGTGAAGGACTGTAATTTATTGTGTAAATATTTACTGACTATGCTGTGCATTGCCAGTTATAACTTTTTTTTCAGATGTTTGTTATTAAAGAGATTTAAAAAAAATGATTTGTTTGCCAGTTGTACGCCTAATAAACCATTGAGATTGTTCTGTATTTGCTCCATTCTTAATAAGAGAGAAAAAAAAATACTGCACATGCATTGGAAATATGAAATCAATTTTTATATATTTAAAAGAAAACTCAGGACACATGATCAGGTGTGTAGTGCATAAAACACACACTAACAAAAACAAACTTTGAACCTTGGAACCACCCTCTAATCTTCCCTCATTACAGTGATACTATAAGAACCAAAACAGTTAGCTTAATGAAACAGTTACAGTGTATAGATAATGCTCTGGTTTGATCACTGCTCAATTCACTGACTTTTATGAGTTGTCATTTTGTTTATGCAGCCCTAATCACACCTCTTTGCATGTGACTTGTATAGCATTCCTAAATAATTCCTGTAAAGATAGATCTAATGTTCTGACTTCCTTTATTTGCACATTCTGTTTAAATTAGAATTTCTTATCTCCTCCTCAGTTAATAGTCTTCTAGATCCTGCAGGAGCCTCCTGTGTCAGAGCAGAAATTTAGAGAGAGAGAGAGAAGAAAAATTCTAAAGTCAAAAGACACTATAGCCACCAAAACATTAGCTTAATGAAGCAGTTAGATCATTTAGCTAACTGAAGTTGTCTGGGTGCAATGTCCCTTTTGCACTTAGTGCAATATTTACATTGCAGTTCTGTCTGCTCCAAGTGACTGTCTCCCAGACAGTTTTGTGTAGTGCTTGTTTCTTAGTGCAGTAATTCCTAACCCAATCCTCACAGTACACCAATGATCTGGATTTTGTCAGTATCCCAATAGAAACAAAATTGGAATATGCCAAAGTCCTGGAGTCTTGATGTTCCTTGAGGACTGGCTTTGGAAGCCCTGGCCTACTTATTTCCATCTCCCAGTATAGTGCCCCTTACCATAGGCTTTGAAATGCATGTTCATTGACCCGGTGCAGAGTTTAATATTAAAGGGACAGAATTGTAGGGGTTATTGTGCTACCCACGTTTGTAAATGGTTTGACTGGTTCCCTCCAGGAGCCTGTTCTACGCCTGATCTCCTACACGCAGATAAAACAGGAGTTCAGATTCTGATTTAGCTAGATTGTTTGTGTAGGTTCCAGGTCATTCACTAGCTGAGAGTGGCTTATGACATTTCTAGAGAAGCAGTCACCAGAAACTTTGAGCTAATATGACCGACTTCTGCTTTAGCTGTGTGGAGGAGTGCGGAAGCCTTTGGGTACCCAGCTAACTTATCAACTCATTTACAAATAGTTTAACCCTTTATAGGTAGATGGTGCTAGGAGACTCCTGGTATCATAACTACGTCAGTGGGTTGCAGTGGTTATGGTGCTTAGAATGTACTTTTATGGCTGCTGAACAGACCCACTTCAACTAGTTTTTAGTACATCTAACTATTATAGTAATTGTGTGTAGATAAATATTGCAGTGTGTAACTAGTTAGATCAGTAAGATTTTCATCATGAAAGGTACCCCTTTACATTGGATTTTCTTTTGATAATTAAATGAACTAAGTAAGACTTTGTGGTTATCTACAGTACCAAAATCCTGAAAGATATGTCTCCAGTGCTTTTAATGTGCAAAAAAAAAAAATCAACATGGGTTCTTTCAAGTAGCCAACTAGCCCCATTGGACCACAGGAAAACTTTGCACACAATGCACCATGGTATGTAAGGGTCCGCTAGTGAGACTGTCATTTAATGAAGAACAGTGGCATAAGCATTGGACACATTTGTCCCTTCATCAGTCAACAATGCCCTTGCATATTGCACATAGATAAATGGATGGTGTGCAGAAACATTAGTAGCCCTGTTTGCTCCTGCATACCTTGTTGCAGTGAGGTCACTGCGTTTCAGTCCTCCTATGTGCTAGCTAGTAAGAGCAGCCTTCATTTGGCCACATTATTTGCACCTCCAGCTGACCACTAGAAATGCTCCAAAGACCACTACTGCTCTACAAACCACACTTTGGGAAGCACATGTCTGCTCACAGATACAAGGCTTACTATTCCGGATTTGCAGAGATCGTAAAGAGGTGTGTCATCTATGTGCATTTCTCTACAGCCCATCTGAATTATATCCAGCAAAGGACCGCAAGACACCACTTGGAAGAATATGGAAAGAAGGGGAGGAAAAAAGTGTGCTACATTTCTTCTACATTATGTATATAATATTTTAGTGATTTTTTTGTTGTATCAAAATGTTTTATGCTTTAGATGTCCTGTTAAAAATACCTATATATAAATGTATGCTTGTTCCACATTTCGTTATTTACGTAAGACATAATGTAATCAAAACATTGGTCCATTACAGGAGGCTTAATTCAATAGAGTATGCAGACACGTAAAGGGCCAGTCTAGGCACCATAACCACTTTAGTCAGTTGTGGTTATTGTGCCATGAGTGCCCTGGCACCGTCGCATAGTAAGTAGTCAAACTGTTTTTTTTATTGGTTTGACACTTACCTTGGTCGCCCCGTCTGACCTCCTTTTCTGATATATCAGAATCATGTTTTTTCTGTAATAAATTACATTCATTTCAACACTAAGGGCAAAACTTATTGACTGAAGGCATCAGCTGACACTCTCAGCCAATGAATTCTGTTAAAACACCATACAGAATTTATGTCAATAATGTATATAGAAAATATATATACTTAAAAAAATGAATCTACACGAAAGTTCTAAATGTGGAGCAATGAGCTATATGACCCCTATGGCCGGGCTTCAGATTTGTAGTCCTTATGCTGCTAGCCAGGGTTTAAATGTTAATCACCACTGCGAGCTATAGTTTACCCTTCAGGGGTGAATTTCTACTTGCCAGAGCTAAATTTTTATTCGCCAGTAGGAAATTTGGAGTCCCCATGGCAATAGTTTCACTATTAGAATCTTTTCATCCTCTTACAGACATATTGTTCGTGCAGGGTTCCAAAAGCAACCTTGCGCTCCTTACTCCATTCTTCAGGGACGAGACCTTGCAGTACATACATAGTGCAAAGCTCTTAAGGAAGGAAACGTCTCTGGTTTGTTTTTTAAGGATTGTCACTAAACCAGATTTTGTGTGTTTCTGCAAACATTTTTGTGACTTTTTTTTTTTTTATATTGACTTGCTGTTTTCTTGTATTTACAGCTTTAGTACAAGAATTGATCCTGGCATGACTATAGATCCTTACATAATGCTGTCTGCAGAGCAGATTTGTAACCAATTTGGTTTGCGTAGACATTGTCGCAGAAACACAGAAAAGGTATATAACAAGCTTTAGTGTTGCTTCCTTGGATGTTGGATGGTTACACTGTGTACAATATAGTCTTCTAAAAATCTCAGCAGTATTTTTCTCATTATAGGCCAGTAAAGGCTGACCTTGGTACACCAGATGTTTCTGAAACACAGGCAACCCCTCTCCTGACGGTCACCCAAAGTGGAACGCCCCTTTCTTTAGTAACTCTGCTGGCCATACATTAGCTACCTAATGTCACTTATTGTGAGCGGCCAGTGACGGCTCAGAATGCTGCTCAATGAGGAGTTAGGCACTAAATCATTTAAAGATAATATATTCTGGCTTTAACAATTATATCATGGGGTATTTTTGATCACTATGTATCCCTTTTCCTAGAGGATCTGCTCGTTAAAGTGTCACTGTCACCTATATATAGATCTATATATACTCAAATTTTTTTGTGTGTAAATCAGCTTAAAGTAGTGATGTGTAAATTATATAATTTAAACAAGCTCATAGCAAGAAGTAAAGAAACACCCTGACCACATCATTTCATTTTAGTGGTTTGGGTGCAGTGTCCCTGTCCCCCTAGCCTTGCATTGTAAAACATTGCAGTTTCAGAGAAGGTGCAATGTTTATATTTTGCGATGCTAAGACTGCCTCTAGTGGCTGTCTGTCAGACACCCACTAGAGGTGCTTCCCACATTTACACAGTTTAACGCAGTGAAACAACGCTGGACGTCCTCCCGCTATGCATTAAGACATCCAGCGTGTTGAAATTTCCCATAGGAAAGCATTGATTTATTGCATTACTATGGGGAAGGCCTAATGCGTGCTTAGCTATCGCTGCACGTGTGCACTAGAAGTTCTCTACCCATTGATGGTATTGGAGGAGGCTGAGACGGATTCAGCACGGAGGAACCTCGGCACTGGGAAAAGGTAAGTGTTTAAAGAGTGTTCAGATTAAGTCTGAGGAACACTATAGTGTTCCTTTAACACTGCCAGTGTTTCACTGTGGAGGCAGCCATCCTGGAATTATTCCATAAGTTTAAAACTCTGTAACAGTGACTATATAAACAATGTTGCACAGATCTTGTGATGTCAGTAGCCAGTCAGTAACTATGATTTGCTGAGTAGTTCCCACGTTGTATGGAACAGATTGTTTAACTCACGGATGATTCTCTGTGCCTAGCATGTCCAAGGTTACCTGGAAATTGTTTGTTTTGGAATTTGATGAAAATATTAAAACGAAAAAAAAAATAAGTTAAGGCTGAAAAGTGACCTGAAGCTTGCAAATCGCAGCCCACAATAGTCAACATTTTAATTTCGATTAATAACTGACTCTTAAGCACATTTTTCCCAACAGATTAATGCATATTCCAACACTGCTGAATTTGACTTACATGTTTGCAATGTTGTTATTTTGTTAGGACAATAAAAAGAATGGCTTGCCCAGGAAGTCCCCTGTAGGGACCCGGCAGAGATGAATTTTCCAAGGTGAGGTGTTTCATTAGAAAATACACATTATTTCCAGCACTTAAACCATAGTTGCACACAGTCTTGTTTTCACAGGCAACTGTATGATATCTTTAATTTTTAAAAGCTGTGTTTGTGGCAGACATGCCATCGTTGTGTACTCAGATGGTACATAAAGCGGCCGTCATTGATGAAATTCACTAAGGATCACTTTAGGTCAGAAAATTAACCTGGGAACTGCTGGATAGAATAAACGAGTTGGAGACTTCTCCATATTTGATTATTTTGGCCTTGAATTTGCAATTACCATGTTAATTCTCTATAATCAGTGTTCAGTGAATAAACCTTGGCAGTGTCTGCACCCATATTTGTGAGTGTGTAGGTACCCTAAAAAATAAAACATGTGGGGGAACAAGTGACTATGTCTGATGAAACTCCTGTCTGTATATGTGCATATCTGTAGCATCAGCACTGCTCAAGATTTCATGTTCTGTTCTACTAGCCAATCCTAAGCATAAATGCAGGCTTGCATCCAATTACGGGGAGGTTATAGTTGTGGAGAGTCAGCACATAGGAATGCAGGGCTCTATCTGTGTGGAGTGGAGGTCCATCAGCATTGTGGGATATTTAAGGATAGTGAGAGTTAAGGGTAGAGGGGCCGGGGCAGGATAGTTGGAGTTGAAAGAGATTGGGCTAGTTAAGGATAGTGAGAGTTGGGGTAGAGGGGCCGGGGCAGGATAGTAAACGTTGAAATAGAGTGGGGTATGATAGTGAGAGTTGGGTGGAGGGGCTGGGGGAGGATAGTTGAAGTTTAAATAAAGTGGGCTAGTTAAGGATAGTGAGAGTTGGGGTAGAGGCTTGGGCAGGATAGTAAACATTGAAATAGAGTGGGCTAGTTAAGGATAGTGAGAGTTGGGGAGCAGGGGCTGGGGCAAGATAGTTGAAGTTGAAATAGAGTGGGCTAGTTAATGATAGTGGGAGTTGGGGTACAGTGGGGGGGAGGATAGTTGGAGTTGAAATAGAGTGGCCTGGAGGAGGATAGTGAGAATTGGGGTAGAGGGGCTTGTAGTGAGTTGGTGCAGAATAGTGGGAACTAAAGTACAATGGGACTTGTTTTAAAGTGAGCTCAGGTAGTGTGGTGGGAGTTGGAGTGGGCTGGGGCAGGATAGTAAGATTTGAGATATAATGGGCATGTAACAGAGTTTCCTATACCCAGGCTGGTTACCTCCACCAAGGACCGCTTCCTAGCTGGAACAGGGGACAAACCTCAGCACTCCTGCCCCCAGTCACCGTGACTTGACTGGGGTCCTGGAGCCGAATGGGGGAACTCGCTCTATCCACTCCCAGGCACTGGACAACACTCAGTCCTGGGAGCTCTAGTCCTTACAAGGACTTTCCCTGTTAAATCCTCCACACTGGAACAAGCTGGAGTAGTGATTATGACTTTCTTCTCCCAGTAACCAGATGCCACATAGTTCTGGGAGTACAAGCTGGAATTCTTTAATCTGGCCAGATGGCCTGCTTTTATACATTTATGGACACAGTCAAACACGCCCATGACACTCCCACACAAAACAGGGTAATCCCTCCTCTGTGCCTGGGAGATAATTGAGTCAGGAACTTTACAAACTCAATAATCTCCAGGCACAATAAAACACACAATTTATAAAACACCCCAAAATACACATAAAATACACGAAAACCCCACAGAAGTTACATCCCCTGATAGCCCCAATCTGGGTGTCCAACATATCCAAAAATCACCCAGATCGGTCCATGGTTTCCGTGGAAGTCTATAATTTCATCAACCGCGCACATGGTCCTATGCCCAAAACAGTTTCATGAAATCAGGGCTAGCGGTCGGTCAACTAGCCCAAAACAGTTTCATGAAATCAGGGCTAGCGGTCGGTCAAGTAAAATACCAAACGTAGTCTCTATTTGAACCGTGGAGCTTGTTCCCCTCATCCAGACGAATGATGCCACCAAACAGTGTTCTAGAATCTATTGACCCAAACGCAGGCGATGATGGAAGTCCAGCGGTGTTTGGGAGTTTCAGGGTCCGAGTATCGTTCCATGAATTTAACAACAAAACACCACTGCCTGCGTTCATGCAAACAAGATGGCCACCACCTTGTGGTCGTTCGTACGAATTTTGGCCACCCAGACGAACAATTAGAGCACTGTTCCAAGGTGTTTAATAGTGGTTAACAAGCTCCCAGGTGGTCCCTGGTTCGTGCGGTTGTTTGGTTCCCGAACTGTATATGAAAATTACAAGAACCAAGCCATTTAAACAGTCTTTTACAGGTTTCCCTGCAGGGCCCATAGTCTGTTGGCAAGCAGGCTCCTCCAGGAGCTTGTGGCAAGCTCACGTGGGAAGGAGAGTTTGTCATAGGGCAGGATAGCGGGAGTTGGAGCACAATGGGACTTGTGGTAGAGTGAGCTCTGGAAGTATAGTGGGAATTGAAGTTGGAGTGGGCGGGGGTAGAATAGTGAGATTTGAGATATAATGGGAAGGGGCAGGATAATGGGAGTTGGAGCACAATGGGACTAGGGGTAGAGTGTGCTGGTGCAGTGTAGTCGGAGTTGGACTGTGCATTGATAGGATATTGGGAGCTGGAGCACCATGGGACTTGTGGTAGAGTGAGCTCGGGCAGTATAGTTGAAGTTGGAGTGAACTCTTGTAGTATAATTGGAATTGGACTGTGCATTGGTAGGATATTGGGAGCTGGAGTGGGCTGGGGCAGTATAGTGAGATTTCAGATATAATGTGGTGTAGCAGGGTAGTGGGAATTAGAGTGGGCTTGGGCAGGATAGTGGGAGTTGGAATTGCCTGTGGCAGGATAGTAGACATGGCGCGATTTTGAGATATAGTGGGCTGGTTAGTAGACATTATGGCACGATTCTGAGATATGGTGGGCAAGATAGTAGACATTTTTGCTGGATTTTGAGTTATAGTTGGCTGGTTAGTACACATTATGCCAGGATTTTGAGATATAGTGGGCTGGTTAGTACACATTATACCAGGATTTTGAGATATAGTGGGCTGGTTAGTAGACATTATGGCAGGATTTTGAGTTTGAGATATAGTGGGCAGGTTAGTAGATATAGTGGGCAGGATAGACATTATGGCAGGATTTTGAGATATAGTGGGCTGGTTAGTACACATTATGGCAGGATTTTGAGATATAGCGGGCTGGTTAGTACACATTATGCCAGGATTTTGAGATATAGTGGCCTGGTTAGTACACATTATGGCAGGATTTTGAGTTTGAGATATAGTGGGCTGGTTAGTAGACATTATGTCAGGATTTTGAGTTTGAGATATAGTGGTCAGGATCGACATTATGGCAGGATTTTGAGATATAGTGGGCTGGTTAGTAGACATTATGGCAGGATTTTAAGTTTGAGATATAGTGGGCCGGTTAGTAGACATTATGTCAGGATTTTGAGTTTGAGATATAGTGGGCTGGTTAGTAGACATTATGTCAGGATTTTGAGTTTGAGATATAGTGGGCAGGATCGACATTATGGCAGGATTTTGAGATATAGTGGGCTGGTTAGTAGACATTATGGCAGGATTTTGAGATATAGTGGGCTGGTTAGTAGACATTATGGCAGGAGTTTGAGATATAGTGGGCAGGATAGTAGACATTATGGCAGGATTTTGAGATATAGTGGGCTGGTTAGTAGACATTATGGCAGGATTTTAAATTTGAGATATAGTGGACAGGTTAGTAGATATAGTGGGCTGGTTAGTAGACATTATGGCAGGATTTTGAGATATAGTGGGCTGGTTAGTAGACAATATGGCAGACTTTTGAGATATAGTGGGCAGGTTAGTAGACATTATGGCAGGATTTTGAGTTTGAGATATAGTGGGCAGGTTAGTAGATATAGTGGGCAGGATAGACATTATGGCAGGATTTTGAGATATAGTGGGCAGGATAGACATTATGGCAGGATTTTGAGATATAGTGGGCTGGTTAATAGACAATATGGCAGGATTTTGAGATGTAGTGGGCTGGTTAGTAGACATTATGGCAGGATTTTGAGTTTGAGAAATAGTGGGCAGGTTAGTAGATATAGTCGGCAGGATAGTAGACATTATGGCAGGATTTTGAGATATAGTGGGCTGGTTAGTAGACATTATGGCAGGATTTTGAGTTTGAGATATAGTGGGCAGGATCGACATTATGGCAGGATTTTGAGATATAGTGGGCAGGATCGATATGGCAGGATTTTGAGATATAGTGGGCTGGTTAGTAGACATTATGGCAGGAGTTTGAGATATAGTGGGCTGGTTAGTAGACATTATGGCAGGATTTTAAATTTGAGATATAGTGGACAGGTTAGTAGATATAGTGGGCTGGTTAGTAGACATTATGGCAGGATTTTGAGATATAGTGGGCTGGCTAGTAGACATTATGGCAGGATTTTGAGTTTGAGATATAGTGGGCAGATTAGTAGACATTATGGCAGAATTTTGAGATATAGTGGGTTGGTTAGTAGACATTATGGCAGGATTTTGAGATATAGACATTATGGATTTTGAGTTTGAGATATAGTGGGCAGATTAGTAGACATTATGGCAGAATTTTGAGATATAGTGGGTTGGTTAGTAGACATTATGGCAGGATTTTGAGATATAGTGGGCTGGTTAGTAGACAATATGGCAGAATTTTGAGATATAGTGGGCTGGTTATTAGACATTATGGCAGGATTTTGAGTTTGAGATATAGTGGGCAGGTTAGTAGATATAGTGGGCAGGATAGACATGGCAGGATTTTGAGATATAGAGGGCTGGTTAGTAGATATAGTGGGCAGGATAGTAGACATTATGGCAGGATTTTGAGATATAGTGGGCTGGTTAGTAGACATTATGGCAGGATTTGAGTTTGAGATATAGTGGGCAGGTTAGTAGATATAGTGGGCAGGATAATAGACATTATAGCAGGATTGTGAGATATAGTGGGCTGGTTAGTAGACATTATGGCACGATTTTGAGATATAGTGGGCTGGTTAGCCCAAGTTAGCTTAGCTGGAGCTGCACTAGAGTGGACTTGGGCTAGACAGTGGGAGTTGATGTACAGTGGGCTGAGGCAGGGTAGTTGTGTAGGGGTTTGTGTCTGCTCCACTATGAGTCCCTCACTCATAGTTGGTGACTTCCCAAATTCCCCATTCCCCTAGTAGTGTGGCCAAGCACTGGAGGTTATTTACTTGGCTTGTCTCTCCTCCAGCAAGCCATCACATTAACTGTAACATGTGGAGGGGTTAGGGCATGGCATATCAGCCAATACCCGCTCACCCACACCTTGCACTGCCTCCTGCCTTGGGTGTGTGACTTTCAGACATCCTAATAAAGGTGCTGCACACTTTTATCCCCCCCACCACCTAATTCTATGACGACCCCCCTCCCCCCCCATTTTTACGCCTATGGCTCTGATAAATAGGACACAGTTGAGAGGGAGGAGAATGACATTTGTGATAGGCGTAATAATGCTGTAGTGAAACAGTTTGCTGGGTGACACAATCTTCATATTTTAGATGCTCTGCTAGCACCGTACTGTCAGAGTCAGTGGTGTTCTCCAATTGATTATTCAGTGTCACACAAGGAGTCATGCACACTAGCTTTTATCATCCTTCACAACCTTCGTGTGGGGAGCATAGTCTTATTACAAGTGTATGTAGAGTGCAAGAGTATATCAACAATATTGTACACATCCTTATGCTGCAGAGTTCTCATGAACAGTGACAAAATAGTTAATTCTTCAGTAAAAAAAATATTGATGTTACTCCCCCTTTTATCTTCTTTCATCATAAATGCATTGAAACCATAAATAACATTTGGTTACATTTAATCAGTTTAGCACATTTTGTGACTGATCCAGCATTGAATCTGTTAAGAAAGTATAATTTATAATAGCCACACATTGTATGTTGCATTGTACACCATTTACACTTTTGAGAACTGGGTCTCTCTCAAAAAAAGTGGTTATAGGGACCATTGTCGAAGAATTGTGTTGTAGTTATAGTCCCATCAAAATCTGTAGAGCCATATAGTTGTAGTTGAGAGCCATATGTTGACTGAATCCGTTAAGATGTTTACACCTTGTACTAAACTACAGATTGTTTTACTCCTATTTATTGTAACAGGCAACCTTGCAGAGCTTACAGACGCCTTTCCAAGGACACACTGTGTTCCATAGCCACTTAAACTGGATACAGCATATCTCAGAGATTCCAATAGGAGGGCTTCCTACCTTCAATTCTAGAATTTCCTATAGTGAGGATTTGTGGCAAGTGTCCCTTTCTTCCCTATTCTTGTTGTTATTCCTTTTTTTTTTTTTTAATATATATACAAAGTGAAATCTAATTATGCTTTTTGGTCTTAGTGACGCTGTACAAGCGACTCTTTGAGTTTCAATATCATGTATGGCATAATAACTGTTTTGTAAAATGACACTAAAATGGCAGTTTTCAGGCTTAAAACTAATGTTGGTAATACTTGACCTGTCACATTCTTAGCTCCCTGAAAAGTTCTGAACTCTTAAGTGAAGAACACCTTCGGACCAATAAGCAAATTTAAAGATAAAAAGGATCTTTAAAAGCTGCATAATTCAACTAAAGCTTAACCTGACTGGATAACTGGTATATTCAAAGTAGCAGGTTTTCTGATAAAAGATATCCGCTAACATTTAACACGTACAGTACTACTAAAGGGTTTAATGCTTTCTACATCCCTGCCCCTGTGCCTGCTTCATAGCACAAGCCTGTCTAGTGATGCACTTGCACTGTGCAGCCAGTTCCCTGGAGTCCTCAGATGCCCAATTCACGATTTCGGGTCTAGTGCCACCAAAGTCAGAGACTGTTGGGAGCCCTGCATATGTCTTTCTTCCAGAAGGGTTTAATGTTTTTGATAAATCCAAATAAAGTTTATTAGGTTTTATGGTTTTTTTTTGTTTTTTTGAACATACTGTTACCCAAACTTTCGAGTTTCATGTTAGAAAATGTTATTTATTATTTTAATTGTTTTATAAAAAGGTGTTGTTTTTTCCCCCGATAAACATTGTGTTTTAAATTGCTGAATCTTTTGCCTTGATAATGTTCGCGGGCGACACGTTACATATCTACACTGTATTTTCATTGAGATTATGTTTCAATAAGTAATCGTACACATTTGCTTACCTATGAATTTTCTAGGTGGGCTTACAGTGAAATTATTGGGGGGAGGACTCTCTCAAAGCAATTTTACAATGAAGTTACACAATTAAACTCTTACAAATAAAACAATGAAAATCTCCCGTAGCTTGTGTCAACCTGTTTTTCATACGACGCACCAATTTCTAAAAGTTATATGTAATCACAATCCAATTCAGCCATGGTGCACTTTGCAATTGAGAAGGAGAATCAGAAACATAGGTTTTTTTATTTTCTCTTACTGTATGTCAGTTATTCAGTAAAGTGAGAAATGTTGGGGATTCAAAGTGAATTTCAAATTTAAGGCCAAAATAGCTAACTTGGAGAATTTTTCTATTTCATATATTTTGGCCTTAAAGGGACACTATAGTCACCAGAACAAGTTGCAGCTTGTTGTATTTGTTCTGGTAAGTAGAATCAGTCCCTTCAGGCTTTTTGCAGTAAACACTGTCTTTTCAGAGAAAAAACCTCCACTGGCCACTCCTCAGATGGCTGTTAGAGGTGCTTCCTGGGGCAGTGCTGCACAGTGTTACTGACATTCAGTATCTTCACCCTCTGCATGTAGACACTGAACATTCCTCATAGAGATGCATTGATTCAATTTATCTCTACGAAGAGATGCTGATTTGTGCTGGCTTCTGCCCCTGATCTGCCTCCATGATGATTGTCAGCTTTAATGGACAATGATTGATAGAGAGGCACCTAGTTGCAGGATAACGTGTGGTGTAGATTTCTACATTCCATTTTCATTTCTCTGACATTACAAATACATGTTTGTTAATATAGAGGATATGTAAATATAATATTACAAGTTCTGTGTAGTGATATAGTTCTCCTTTAACCCCTTAAGGCACATGACTGAAATATTCCATCATAATTCCCTTTTATTCCAGAAGTTGTGTCTTTAACCCCTTAAGGACACATGACATGTCATGATTCCCTTTTATTCCACAAGTTTGGTCCTTAAGGGGTTAAGGGATTAAATACAACATTTTTCATTAATCCAGCATGTGTTTTTTGTGACATACAATTTGCTCATCTACAGAAAAATATTTTGAAATCTGTGCTCCTCTGTATTATTTATATATAGTAAAGAATGACTAGTCCAGAAGTGTATTTTTCTGGTGTATGGAGCCAGCTGTATATTGCAATGGTTAATTTCATGAAAGGAAACTCATATACAATCATTTTAACCCTCCAAGTGCCATAGCAGAGAGCAGTACATTGCCCAGCGCTCTGGCACCAAATTGGTTAAATGGTTTTCTATACACAACACTCGGCATATAAGATCACGATCAGGATTACATTAAAGCAATGAAGAGATTAGTTTGCTGGGATTTGTGACACTGAACGTTGCATCCGAATTGTGTCAGTACTGGACAAATAATAATAAATAATAGACTGTCAGGGTGCCTGCTCTCTAAAAGGACACTGCAGGCCAGAGCTGACACTAGGTTTTCCACTGCATTATAGCTAATGCATATAAAACATATTTAAAATAAATCATACGCTGACATTTCTGCATTTTCCGCTAATCGCGACTTTTTCCTACTCCTGCAGTGAGATTTCATTTACCCAGGAAGTGACACAACTAATCAGGATACTCCCATAACATCAATTTTCTACATGTCTGCTGGGTTTATCTCTTTATGTACAGCAAGATTCTGGGAAGAGAAGATTAGCAGCCAATCGAAACAGCTTGTGAAGCGTACATATTTTTCCCAAGCTGTTGTTATAATTGGGAAGCCACTGATTGGCTTAGAGCGCAAGTCAGTGTCAGGGACCTCCTAGCACCATAACAATTTCAATCTGATTAAGTGGTTATGGTGCCCGGAGTGTTCCTTTAAGGAATCATTCCAAAGGTTGCTACTTTACAGTATTTCACAGCCCCTGGAGCACACATTGTGGTTTGAATAGCTGAATTAGCACATAAATAGGACATTTACGTAATATACTTAAAATATTTTAATAACAGGAAAATGACACCTGCTTCTCTTCTGTTTCTAACAAAAATATATCCATGTTTTATCCATATTTGCATGTATTTACTTAAATACCTACTAATGGATATTTCTCCTGCAATGCCAATAGATATATAGGAAAACAGTAAACAAACACATGCTATTTTGATGCTCAGGCAGTACTTATTCATTAAGCATATATAGTTTAAGAGTGTCAGTGGTCTCTCGGTCATATAGAAGGCCCTTTCATGTTGTAGCTCCTATGAAAATTAAGCGTGTCATGAACAGTGATTAGATTGTCCGGGCCTGTCACATAACTGTTTTCTATACTTGTGTTGAGTCCATTATTCCTGTACATTCCACATTTTGCGCCAATCGCTGAGAATTTACTGGATTTCGAATTGAAAGTTGTCTGGAAAGAAAGAGAAAGTTCAGCAGTGATATTTTTTATTGTCATTACTCTTCTTAATTCTCTCTCGTCTTCTTTATTCTCCACCTTGTTCCTCCTCTCTATTCTCTCTCCACCCTGCTCCTCCTCTCTATTCTCTCTCCACCCTGCTCCTCTTCTCTATTCTCTCTCCACCCTGTCCCTCCTCTCTATTCTCTCCCCACCCTGCTCATCCTCTCTATTCTCTCTCCACCCTGCTACTCCTCTCTATTCTCTCTCCACCCTGCCCCTCCTCTCTATTCTCTCTCCACCCTGCTCCTCCTCTCTATTCTCTCCCCACCCTGCTCCTCTCTATTCTCTCTCCACCCTGCTCCTCCTTTCTATTCTCTCTCCACCCTGCCCCTCCTCTCTATTCTCTCTCCACCCTGCTCCTCCTCTCTATTCTCTCCCCACCCTGCTCCTCCTCTCTATTCTCTCTCCACCCTGCTCCTCCTTTCTATTCTCTCCCCACCCTGCTCCTCCTCTCTATTCTCTCTCCACCCTGCTCCTCCTTTCTATTCTCTCTCCACCCTGCTCCTCCTTTCTTTTCTCTCCCCACCATGCTCCTCTCTATTCTCTCTCCACCCTGCCCCTCCTCTCTATTCTCTCCCCACCATGCTCCTCCTTTCTATTCTCTCTCCACCCTGGCCCTCCTCTCTATTTTCTCTCCACACATAACCCCTAACGTTGGGGTCCTGTAAATCGGGGGCGGGTCACAGACACAAATCATGTCATTGGCACTGCCCAAAGGACTAAACCTGCCCAGAATGGGGGCTGGTTCACCCTAAGGACGGAGATGTCAGCCAGGCTGAATGTACACCAGGCTGTGTCAATCATCCTGGTCAGCCCACAGAGTGCCCACCATTCAGGGTACACTGTTTCATTGGTCTCTGGAGGATCCTACTGCTCTTAGCGTAGCACGGACTACCTTCTTTGCTGCATCACTTTGTGTTTTTATTTCACCTGCACCTTTTCTTTGTTGTCTTTTTAGTGTCTCATATACTCCGTTTCATCCACCCAACACCTCTTTTTCACTTTATTTATTAAATCTTTCACAACTTTTATTTTTTAACGAAAAATCACATTTTGGATATTTATACCTATGTATCGCAGGCAGCATCACCACACAGTATGCAGGACAAGACTTCACATCAGAAATCATGTATGTCAACTATTAGCCATAATTATACTAATGTGGGCTGATGCAATGCTTGCATGCTATTATTGATTCCCACAGGCGGCTATGGTTGGCATAGCAGTAAACAAGGATCTGTCTACAATATGTGTGTGTAAAGAGTGCAAACCATATGCCTATATTTACATTTTGAGTCTTTACACAGAAACCTATGAAGTAATATTTTCCAGAGCTTTAAATTGTATTTTACGTTAGATCGTAAAATGACAGTTAAATAAAGGATTAAGTCTTTGCATTTTAAAATATTAAAGCGGCTATGTCACCATTTGGGTCTTTGCTTGGTGGCCTGGGGGTATTGCAGAGCATAGCTATATTTACCTGATGGCACAATCTTCTCTTTTCAACACTAATGTCTATAGAGGCCGCGGGAGCCTCCATAGATATTGTCTCATGATGACCAAAACTTGACGACGAGCCGAGTTAAAATACATAAAACAAGGTAGTCTCTTCTATGTCCTATGTATTATAGGAGACACAGATCGAGAAAGCAGAAAGGACGAACGGACTAGGAGGAACGTTGAAGCAAGTTAAGTTTACTTTCTGTTAGAGAATTTGGCTCTCCCCATTTTTCCTGCTTACCGGCATTTCATGAACGGTGGGAGGTCGGCGTCCGTATGTCTGATTACTGGTTCTGTAGAGTGGATTTCCTTCTTTAGACCTGGAAAAAAGACAGAATTATTTAATAATCCAAGAACCATTAGTTAAGGTAACCTTTGTGGTTATATCACCTGGTCTCTAATTTTACATGTTTTAGAAAATCAGTCATGCTGTTTTATTCTTTACAGATTATCATTACAGGTGCCCAAGGAAATATAAATCCGCACTGAACCATGGATAGCAGGCTGATAAATTAACAGCATTAATTGGCAGTATTTCTTTGGATTTCAGCTCACTTGGGATTCACTCAGTTATTTTCATTATTGCTGGCATTTGTAAAGCACCTGTATATCCCACAGCAGTGTACAATTGGGAAAAAGACAGTGCAATATACACAGACCAATACAAAGGTTAGAGAAGGTCCTGATCCAGAGTGCTTTACAATTTGTGAAAATAGAACATTGGTAATTATACAGCATACACACAAACTACAAACCAAACTGATACAAAAAGGAACAGAGGGCACTGCCTGTTAGTTTACTATCTAGCAAGCCTGGAACTCGCCAACACAGATCAGTGATGGTGGGGCGTTACCCTAAAGTTCCCTAGCTCAAAAGAACCTTGTATATCATTAATATTTTTTACAAAACAGTTTAACACTGGAAGAACGGAATGTGCTGAGCACTAGCAATCAAACTCAGCCAAACTGACACTTCATTAGAGCTAAAACACCCTGCCCCGAAATGTGTACAGCCCACAAGGGTTGCCTGACGTGGAAATAAAAAAATATATAAATAAGTGAATGGCGCTTACACAATAAAAAAGCACAAAGGTGGTGGTGGAAAAAGTGTTCCCCAACACCTTAAATACAAAGTATGCAATAGAAGATATGTGGACACTGAACACACAAATGCCACAAAAATCCACACACCACTCTCTTAATCCCCAAAACAGTGAATGTATACAATACTTGTAAATACAGGGATATGTACTGGCAATATTCCGTGTACTTGGACCCTATAAACACATAAAACAGTACATAGTGTAAACTGTATATGAGAATGACAATAATAGAAATATAATGGATCCACTCACGAATTTTAGAGCCGTGCCAGGCTCTATGTTGAATGCCCAAGGGTGCCTATACAGGCTAGATACAGAGTCTTCACAGTACCCGAATTTTAGAGCCGTGCCATACATATTTCTATTATTGTCATTCTCATATACAGTTTACACTATGTACTGTTTTATGTGTTTATAGGGTCCAAGTACACGGAATATTGCCAGTACATATCCCTGTATTTACAAGTATTGTATACATTCACTGTTTTGGGGATTAAGAGAGTGGTGTGTGGATTTTTGTGGCATTTGTGTGTTCAGTGTCCACATATCTTCTATTGCATACTGACGTGGAAATAAACAGACATCACGTTGTGCATAGAGCAGGTAAAATAAAATAAAGATCCTCATCAGTCGATTAAATAACAGCCTTTATGGCACTGAAGACTAATTTGCAATAATCAATAGAGCTTGATAGAATACTTCATATGTCTGCATATATTGAAGTGACAATACAGACCCCTAAAATTTGCTGAAGTGTTTTATGTGTGAAGAGTGTGTCCTTTTTATTTCATTTTACAAACGGGGCAGATTTCAATAGAGATTCATAAATTAATCTGGTTAGTCCCCCCCACCTCCCAGCTGTCAATCACACAACTAATAATGTTACTTCCTGGTTTGGTTAGCTCAGTGGAGATAAACTCAAGAGGCAGCAATTGCCCAGAGCACCTGCCTTGCAAAGACTTCTCATTGAGCTGCATTGGGGAGTCTGTGATTGGACAGCCACAGAAAGTCTAAAGGCTACAGATAATAAATCTGCAGTGTTTTGCAAGCTGTTTCTAGATATACCCATAATGAAATGCAAGCGTGTTTTGATTTGGATTCTACTAAACAGTGATATTTGTAATTATTTTTTGTCCCTTTTGAGGAGTGTCCCTTTAAAGCGGTTTATTTTTTTTAAAATGGAACTGTTTCAAATGTACAAAAAAGTCAGACAACTAGCCCTTCCTCTTAATCTCGTCATTGCTTTCTAAGCTACTTAAAAAAAGACAAGAAATAGACTGTCACCAGGAAAGTGAAGCCAGTGGTGTGCTTGGTATATTCTAATGCTAAGATTAATACACAGCAAATATAAGAGGGTATAAATAATAAAAAAATATATATATATCTTAAATGTAAATAGTAATATTAATGTAGAAATCCCATATAGAGTAATATAAACTTATTTTTACATGACGTGTGCTATTTCGGTTCGATTTTTTTTACAAGCAGTCCTCTGATAACTTACCCGTACCCACGCAGCCACGTCTCCGGATGATTAAACTTAGCCGGTAAGTCCTTGCTCACTCGGTAGAAATCGCTTGTTTTTGGAAAGATTCTTTCATTATTGTCCTGGGAGGATGGGTGTGGAGTGGGATCTTCAGACATGATGTGACTTTAGCTGAATCCTTAATGTCCCTTAAAGGAGACAGGCAATGCGCTTACCAAAAATACAAAGGAACTGTTACTAGCAACTCAATGCTTAGAAACAGTTGCTAGGAAACCACTAGATGGCAACAAAACAGTATGCTACATTAGTCTTTAGTACCTCTCTGCATGGGTAATCCCAGCAGGTAGCTTTAGAAGTGTTATTATCCCAGCAAATTCCGTAGCGCTGTACAATGGGGTAAAACCAAAACTCTCACAATTCTTAGTTCTTACATAGTTAATTGTCTTAGGTAAGAAATACAATACTCGTGATACTTTGTAACATTATTCTGGCTGGGACAGGTCTGAAAAAATATAATTGAACCCAGCATTTATTCACTAACCTATGAATTGTGTAGGATTTCTGAGGATTTTGCAAATTTCAGCCAGCGTCTCTGACTTTTATACAGTTTTGTTCTTTAGTTCGCAATTCCTTCGTCAATTCTACACAATAGTTTAGTGAAGAAAATGACTATAGCATTTATTCACAATATAGTTCATTTTAAAATGAAATAAAAAGTTTAGGCTGAGATAGAATGTGGATCATTTTTTAAAGTCAGTTTTCAGTTTGTTACATTTGATTGTTTAGGTAATAAAAACATTTTATGTTGTAATCTAGTGCGTTAAACAAGTCACAAAGTGGCTTTCAGTCAATTTGGAAGAAACACCTGGGGTGACAGGCCTCTAAGGAAGGGAGAGGGGGGTTGGATTTAATTTTTAGAAATGTTTTAGTTTAAGAGCATGTACCCTTGTTTGGGAGACATTTATACAAAATGATCTCAAGTTGGCATTTAGACCCAAGTAGAAAGCAACTTATCACTGCCACAGACCCTGGTGTTTTTACACAATGACAAACCTCTCAAAATTGGGTGGTACGGAATTGGACCTCATTGTGCCTTTGTGTGGGCGTTACCAGTGACACAACTTGCATTGCAGGTGATGCCCATAATGGATGTGGATACCTGGAAAGTGGGCAGGTCTGCCAGCCTGGCACCAAGAACACCAAGGCAGACAGTTTCCCAAGAAGCCCCCAAAATATAGGACCATGCAGAGAGTGCTGCTGAAGTGCTCTCATTATTAGAGATGTCGCGAACTGTCCGCCGAACTGTCCGCCGGCGAACAATAGCGTGTTCGCATTGGGCAAATATATCCGATTTCCGGTCCGCCCCCTATACGTCATCATTGAGTAAACTTTGACCCGGAACCTCACAGCCAGCAGACACATTTCACCCAATCAGCAGCAGACCCTCCCTCCCAGGAAGTGTCTGCTGACTGTGAGGTTCCGTGTCAAAGTTTACTCAATGATGACGTATAGGGGGCGGACCGGAAATCGGATATGTTCGCCCAACGCGAACACGCTATTGTTCGCCGGTGGACAGTTCGCGACATCTCTACTCATTATTGTCCTAGTGCTCACTGCATAATGCAAGTGTGACTAATGATGCCCTCTGTACTGCTTGGGGACAGCTCCCAGGTGGGACACCAGAGAACTAAATCATGAAGGCAGGACAGGACCCTAGAATAGGGACTGTCCTGCCAAAAGCGGGACAGTTGGGAGGCTTTCAAATGTTTGGTTTAACCAGAACCGAACTTCTATTCACAAACAGTGGACATGTCCTATAATTCACAAATGCTGGTATACCATATTTGAATTAATACATTTCGTTTATGGCTCACTTTACTTTCTAGCCCAGGGCCTACTGATAATGTTCCTTTACAGAGCAGAATTACTAAAACCTCATTCAGTTGGTTCATGGAATATATGCAGCAACAAGGATAAGTACTGCTGAATCATGGAAGTGACTTACCCCCTCCATTTAATAAAATATACCAAAGAGTATGGTATATTTACACTATGGACAAAATACCAGATATTATACTGTAACTTGCAGAAAAGTCTAGGACGCATTATTGTGAAAATATCCAGATATACCTCATTGTCAATCATTAGATATTTCCTCAAATAGGCATGTGATCTATAGGTTGTCATTCTGTATACAAGGTTTGTGTTTTGCAGTGGTTGAAGAATGTCATTTTGGTTTGTGTTGTAGGTTTAGAAAATATCTGTACATTCTATGTATATCTTGATAAATTTATTAAAAATAAATTTTTTTAAATTGTATTTATCGATTGTTACTTTAAGGCCTTATATAGATAAAGCGTTTTTAAAAAAATATGCATTTAAAAATAAATAATTTAAAACAAAGACTGGATTCTTTTCAGAAACTATCAGGCTTATTCCCTCAAGGTTAATTCAAAATGAATTTCCCATTTAAAGTTACTGTAGCCGTCCTGCAAACATTCTCTAAGATGCCTTCAGTTCGGCTAGTCTGGCCTGAAATTTGAAAATCACTTTGAAGTGTAATGTTTGTGAATAAGCCTATTAATCTCAGCGCTAGAAATTCATTCATTTCAATGGATGTGAAGACGTAAATGCTTATTCATTAACTGGGTTGTTTACTAAAATTTGCTAAATTAATTTCAAGTTTTTGGCCAAAGAAGCGGAACTGAAAATTTAGCTGAATTCCTCCAACTTGGCTTCACACTTTAATGAATAACCCTGTGTATTTTATCCACCTCATACCAATTCCTAGTGAATTGGAAACCAAATTGCCAAGTTAAGTCATATGAGTTGGGTTTTTTTAACCCGTATTTTACATTTCAATTGCAGTGAACTGGAAACTGAATTGCAAAATGTATTGATCAATCCTTCCTATCATTATGGTGTTCTAATGATATGCTATTCACTGATGGTGTGTATGTGACAGCCATTTATAAAGCGCTGCGGAATTTGTTGGCGCTATATAAATAATAACATAATAATAATAAATAATAATAATAATAATAATAATATCACTTGAAAGTGCAATGAATTCTCCTGTGAAGACTGGTTGCAGCAATACACCTTGTTGACCAGGAGGTGGCGCTGCAGTAGTTGGCTATCTGGAACAGGAAGTGAAGGGTTACCGGAAGTGCTGCACAGCCTGACCTTCCTCAGCCAGAAGCAAGCATGGCTTCCCCTGCAGTAAGTGCCCTGCTAAAGACAGGTAGGTGTCTGTCTCACAGTGTGCCGAGGGGAGGGGCATGTTGAACCCACTGCACATTGCTCCAGCACTCACAGGGTTAATATTAATAATTAGCAGAATCACTGTATTAATGGTATGTCTCTATACCAATATAAACGGAATCTTAATGGAATGTACACACTGTATACCAATATAAACTAACCCTTAATGACATGTACACACTGTATACCAATATAAACTGCCCCCTAATGACATGTACACACTGTATACCAATATAAACTAACCCTTAATGACATGTACACACTGTATACCAATATAAACTGCCCCCTAATGACATGTACACACTGTATACCAATATAAACTAACCCTTAATGACATGTACACACTGTATACCAATATAAACTGCCCCCTAATGACATGTACACACTGTATACCAATATAAACTAACCCTTAATGACATGTACACACTGTATACCAATATAAACTGCCCCCTAATGACATGTACACACTGTATACCAATATAAACTAACCCTTAATGACATGTACACACTGTATACCAATATAAACTGCCCCCTAATGACATGTACACACTGTATACCAATATAAACTACACCATGTATACATTGAATGCTAACCCTTAATGGAATGTACACACTGTATACCAATATAAACTGACACTTAATGACATGTATACATTGAATGCAAGATTAACCCTTAATGGAATGTACACACTGTATACCAATATAAACTGACACTTAATGACATGTATACATTGAATGCAAGATTAACCCTTAATGGAATGTACACACTGTATACCAATATAAACTGACACTTAATGACATGTATACATTGAATGCAAGATTAACCCTTAATGGAATGTACACACTGTATACCAATATAACTTAACCCTTAATGGAATGTATACATTGTATATCGATAAAACTTAACCGTTAATGGAATGTACACACTGTATACCAATATAAACTGACCCTTAATGACATGTATACATTGTATACCAATATAAACTAGCCCTTGATGGGATGTACACACTGTATACCAATATACATTAACCCTTAATGGAATGTACACACTGTATTCCAATATAAATGTAACCTTTAATGGAATGTATACACTGTACCATCGTAGATTAACCCTTAATGGGATGTACACACTGTATACCAATATATAAAAAAAAAAACTAATGGAATGTATACACTGTATACCAATGAAAGTTAACCTTTAATGAAAAGTATACACTGTACCATTGAAGATTAACCCTTAATGGGATGTACACACTGTATACCAATGAAAATTAACCCTTATTCCAGTGTATACGCTGTACACATTAATAATTAATTTTTTACACTGCAGCTGTTGTGGGCTGTATTTCCTGTGATTCTCAGCTTTTCAGTGGGCAGGCTGAGCACAATGGGCATTGTATTCTGCTGCAGTGCCGTGCATCAGGGCTGCCTTTAGAAATTTTGGGGCCCTTGACAAAGCACAAGGTTTTGGGGTCCCCCCCGGGCCCGCCCACACCCAACCTAGTCCGCTGACAATTATGCGGGACTGAATGTGGTGTGTATAATGGAAGTGAATTAGAATGTGTGTAATGGAAGTAGTGTTTGTGTGTATTAGATACTGTTTGTGCAGTGAATGCAGTGTGTGTGTTTGTGTAGTGGATGCAGTGTGTATAGTGAACGCAGAGTGTGTTTGAGTAGTGGATGTAGTGTGTGTACAGTGATTTAGTGTGTGTAGTGGATGTAGTGTTTATGTGTACTAGATGCAATGTGTTTAGTGGATGCAGTGTCTGTAGTAGATGTAGGGTGTGTATTAGACGCAGTGTCTCTCTATAGTGAATGCAGAGTGTTTCAATGTGTGGTGGATGTAGTGTGTGTACTGTGAATACAGGATGTTTGTGTAGTGGATGCTGTGTGTATAGTTAATGCAGTGTGTGTGTCAGTGTAGTGAATGCAGAGTGTGTGTGTGTCAGTGTAGTGAATGCAGAGTGTGTGTGTGTCAGTGTAGTGAATGCAGAGTGTGTGTCAGTGGAGTGGAT